GTTTTAACCTCAGCTACTAAACACACTTCCATCTCTCTTCTTCCTATATCGCTTACAGCAGAAATAACACCCTGCAAAGGCACCGGTGATACCATTTTAAAGGCACAAAATACAACAGTATTTTTATTGCTACCAAACGGTTAAGAGACTGGAGCTTTATGATAACTTTAGGTTTCTGTTTCTCTATACAGACCTAAAATTTAAGGATGGTATGACAGTATTAATGGCAACGTCCACAGTACCTCTTTTTTGCTGCTGCTGACCTGAACTCAGCTGGTGAGCATGACATTAGGGTTTATAAGACTTCTTTTCCTTGAATCTCTTCAGGATGAATAAAGAATCTGAATATAAATAATGATTTTTATACTAATATCTTAGAGGAAGAGGTTACAGATTTCTCTGTTTTTACCAAATGTGACAGCATCAAAGCACAGGTTTTTTCCTTGCTGTTTGGTACAACCCCAGGTTAGTCAATATCCACGAGGTGGCACTCTAATCTTACAAATTTGCCACAGGAAACTGCCAGTATAAACCCGTTCACTGCTATTTATTTCATAATGTTAAAAAGCTCTGATGACCCCAATTCCAGGAGAAATTTTTCAAACCTTGTGTCACCCCACATTTAATTTTGAGTTTAAAAGGGCTGCACTGTGCTTTAGCAGTTTTCTTCCATAAAGATAAGAACCTGTCAGAACACAGTTTCAAGAAGCAAATTGCCTTGGTTTTCTTGTACATTGATTGAAGGCAATAATAGAAGCAAGAGGTGGAAGGAAAAGCTGTAATTTTTTAAGTCATTGAGTCTGTGCAATCCTGTTAGATGTGTACATAATTGTAGGATCGCATGTCAGAATTAACCCCGTTTGAATAGAAGTGAAGCATTTTAGGGATGTTTTGGGTTGTGTACTTAATGTCTCTCTGCCTGGAATCACAATACACTGCAATTATTCATGAATTAAGCCTCGGAATGGTGTTCTGAAGTCGGATTGTAACATTGACCCTGTTTTGCAGGGAAAAAAAAAGGCAGAAACAAGGTTACAAAGCAAGTTTGTAGCACCACAAAAGTTCAAACCCAGTTCTCCAGTCTGGCTGACTTACCCTAGAGATGTTTTGTATTTAAGACCTCACATGAATCAGAAAGTGAGTATGATTCAGAGTATGATTTTCTTGGAGCTGAACTAACCCCAAAGAGTGGGCAAAGCATCTAAAATATTAGAGCATAACTGGAATTCATTATGGCAATCGTATCCCTTTGGATTTCCCTATAAACAATATTTATATCTATTCTGCTACTACTTTAATCATCGGTATTCATTTCCTGCTGCGCTCTGGGCTTTGTATTTTCTGTGCCCTTCAGAGTGGGGGTAGTGTTATGTATGTGTGTGATGTAAGAGCTGTGCTGCCTTTGCATGAGTTTAACACTGAGCTGGAGCTGCACTAAGGAACAAATGCCATTTTTAACAGTATTATGTAAAAACTTATGATCAAAGTGTTCTTTTGTCAGCTTTATTTCCATGGCCTAATATTAAACAGGAGGACTCTTGCCAGGAAGGCATTTCAATGTCTACATTTTTAATGTAGACTTCCCCAGGAGGTACCAGTGGTGGCTCGTGTTGCCTTTGGTGCATTCCACAGAGCCAGGGCCAGGGCCTGGCTCTTGGGCAACATATCTAAGGCATCTTTGTCCCACATCTTTGTGTAAGTATTGTTTTAATACGTCAGTTATCTTTGTCCAAAATGCAAGAAGTGTTCAGGCATGCTTGAATTTCAACCTTCACCTGCCCTGGCTGGCTGGCAGGACTCAATCTGATCTCCAGAGAATCCCCTTTAGAGCAGACAATTTTGTTGAAATGTCTAAAATTTACATCCTACCTTGTCCTGTAAGACCCAAGGTACTGACTTTTCGTCTTAAAAGCTGTTAAAGATGTTAAAAACAGGCAAGAACAAATGTAAAAATGTACCAAGAGCATACAAATGATTACATTTATTTTCCCCTCTGTCAAAGATATGGCCTCAAGTGAGCCATAGAAACTTGAACTTTCATAAGGGTTCTTTTGAAGTTTAACAGTTCTAGCTGGAAGTTTACTTTGTAATTAAGAAAGTGCTCTGCTTGCTTTCTCTAATTAAATGAAATAAAATTCCTCTTTCACAGTGGGAGAAGTAAATACTATTCTCAGTAAGTATCTAAGGGAAAAATAACTCATACTTCTTCTGGAAAGTTTAAAAGGAGTTTGGCCCTATCTAAGGAGAGGGATCTAGGAGATGGAGGAGGTCGCCCTGGTGCTGAGCTGCCAGCCCAGCACTAACTCCTGTCATGATTTCAACTGATACACAGAGGTGCCAGATCATGGTCAGCCATCACCACCCCTACAGTGATTGTGGTGCTTTGACCTTTAAGTGCAAAGTGTCTGAAACCTGATAGATATTTATGGTAACGTGGGCTTTGCTGATAGAAGTCCTGTATGGCTATAATGAATGGTGCAGTTCCCTGGCCTTCCAGCTCAGATTGCAGCTGTGACCAGAATTCAGAGAATGGTCCTTCTGCTTGTATCACTCAAAGAGGCTTCCAGCCTGTACGCAGCGGTGCTAACAAACACCATTCAGTGCTTATCCCGGATCTTTTGCTGTCTACTGCAGGGCGTTCCTGCCCGATACCTTTCTTAAAAGCATCTTGGTCACAGACCAATGTCTGGTTGCTTCACAATGGTTTGCGTTCAGCTAGCCTTCTGACTGGAACAGGTATTAAGAATTTAAAACTCTCACTCCAAGATTTCACATAATTTCTCTAGTTTAAGTGAGCCATTCAGCGCATTTTATCCTTGCTGAAGCTTTTAATAAAGCACGTTAAACGCTAAGGGCTCATTTGGAAACCTTTTCATTCCATTTCTTATCATTTGTTGCTCTTCACTGGGTTAATGGAAGCAGCTGCTGCAGCGCTAGGTATGAAGGTGTCTGTGAATTGCACTCTTCTACCACTGGCTTTCAGAGACAGAGCTGGTGCTCAGTCAGAGTTTTTATTCAAGCCCTTTTAATGTAGTCACCCTGGTAGTATTGTACACTCCACATCTCATTACAGAGGTCAGAGGTTTCCAGAAGGACTGAGAGCTGTGATCTGGTATTTGCTGTCTTGCAAAGCTCCACTGTAATAGGAATACCTGGGAGGCAATCAAGAATACTGCATATGATTGTTAGTGTTTGAAGAAGAAAAGGGTGTTTTTCTGCACAGAAATAATTACCTAATTATTTATCCCAGCCATAGAAAATACCAAGAAAGGAGAAGGAACACTGCCCTTCAACAAGAATGTGTTTGTGTATCTTTTTTGAGACAGAGGCACCAGCCTTTGTCAGAATATTTTTCCTTTTTTTAAGGCAAAAATATATAGACTGATGATGGGCATTTTTTGTGGAAAAAAAATATCTGTATTTTGGGTGAAAATCTTCCAAGGTTGCTTACAATGGCTCATAGCAATGTCTACTTCAGAGCCACTTATGCTTTAAGGGGAGCGTACACAATACCACAAATCCAAGCTACAATACCACACGAGTCCTCATAAAATAATTAACTTCTGTCAATTATCTTCTATTAACGGAAATTCTGGGTAGTGTTGAAGATGCCTCAAACTAGGTATGAACTGAGCTATGTAAATATTGATACCTTCTCGTGATTGGAGGGGAGTTTGCAGTCATTTTCTTCATGTATGGTTGGAAATCTTCAATGTTGCAACTTTCCACCTTCAAGCAAGATCTGAAGCAAGTTTATTATCCCTGATAACTCAGCTTTGTTCTTTGCTTGCTCAGCCTCCCCAAGCGCTTTGAATTTGCAGTTTCATTCATCTGTGCTTCCCAGCCTGAAATGGCACACAGTGTACTTCCATGGCATAGCTGGCAGCATTTTGCTGATGTGTGAGCTATTTCTTTGAGCTTCCTGAAGTCGAAGTGCCTGTTTCTTTGAAAATCATGTGAAAAACCATGCCTAATATCTTTCAGCACTCTTTTCCAAGACCTCATCCACGTGCTGGAGAGCATTCCACTTGCACAGATGAAGGGTTCTGAAGGTTTCTTGAGAGGGGAGGCCCAGCTCCTTGCTGCTTCAGGCAGCCTGCCTGGTGGTTCGGGATGAGGGCCCCCATACAAAAGCCTGGCCCACCAAGCAGGAGGTCCATCGGTGAGGACGATGGGGGCACCACGTCCTGAGGGGTCTCCACCCAGCCTGGGGACCTCCAGCAGCGCCTTGTGTGTGGCCACAGAGCTCAGGGCTCTCCCCTAGGAGCCCAGCCAGCCCACATCTGTGGGCTCGTCCACAGCACTGCCCCCCACCACCTGCCCTCCCCGCACAGGGACCTTATGTCCCACCATCACCTTTTGCTCAGCCTGTGTTAATCCTTTCCCCCTTCTCTCCTACCTCAACAAGGTGTCATCCCTTCCCCAAAGTTCCCATACCCAGCGTATCATCACTACTATTCACTTCTAGCCCTGTAAGCACTGCACCCCCTCCTCCTCCTCCCTCCCCCAAGGGCATTGCTGTGAGCATAAAGGAGCTCTTGCAGGAGTTCAAGGAAAAGAAGGAGTAGGTGACTATTTGTAGCACAACAGCAAGGGGCTTGGCAGCACAGTATACCTAAGCAGCAACTACAAAACTGGCTTATTTTGAACAGTGGTTGTCCCCAAGTTAACCACTTCTCTGGTGATGGCAGTATAGCCCATCTTTTCATTTAGAGAGACTTTCCAGCTCTTATGTGAGCATGTGCTGATCTAGCCACACCTTGTGCAGTTGCAAGTAAACTTGAGCCTCCAGGTTGAAATCTGTAGAAGTTTAATACTCAGGCCCTGGCTCTCATTGTAAAAAAAAAAATGCAGAAGTTTAAACTAATTCTCATAAATGGCTACCAAACCAGCAGATGCAGTCAACCTACAGAAGGTCACAAGTAGTCTTCAAGAAGTTTCATTTCCAGTATAATCCAGCAAAGCCAATTTTAAAACAAAGCCTACAGGTAAAGAGAAAATATCACCTCTTAACAAAAAAGTTTTATTCTGACTAAACAAAATGTACAATGTTACCTAAGCACTAGCGAGTTTTCTTGATGTTCAGAATGTTGCAGGTCCATTGAATAACTCCATCACATCTTACATTGTAGTTCGATCGAGCTACTTTTTGCCAGACTTCTTTATTCCACCACTGGCTGCCAAAAGAAACAACACAACTGGTTAAACAACTGACAGAGATCTTAGCTACAAGTTTAGTTCTTTGTCAAATCAAATCCCTGCTGGACTGCCTGTACAACTCAGATCCCCACCAGAGAGTTGGTTTTGCTTTCGCATGTGTTTGTGATCTTACAGACTTTATGCTAAATGAGTAACTTAACATCAGAAACCAAGTCTCCCCTGGAACCAAATGTGCCTCCTAAACCTACAACAGAACTAAATATTTCAACCATTCCTGTGCTCCTCCATGCACACTGTGCGTTGTTTATTTCTTATACAGCAGTTATATAGTCTGGTCAAATCAAATTTAAAGCTAAAGGAATAAAAGCATCAGTATTTCTAAAACAACGAGAGCCCCCAGTTGGGATTGAAGCTCTACTGTAGCAGGTACTGGAATTACAAGAGCCTCTGTTCTTTGCACTCTCCATTACTGAAGAGCATAAAGCAGGATCAAGGAATGACACATATTAACACAGCAACAAATGCAGCACTTTTTCTGTCAAATGCCATGTTTTACAGCATGTGTAATCTATGACCAGTGAAAAGGAGAAAAGCACAGGAGGGCTACAGAATTCATGGCTGCAGCAAGGGCTGATAGTCAACAGCAGACTTTGCGCTGTGTTCCAAGAGGGTTGCCTTGCTGTAATAACACAATAATCACTGTCTGCTTTCACTCTCATTGGTCACGGACCAGATGACTGAAATTCATCTAGAAGAAGACAGAGTAATAATGGCAAGTGAGAACAATCAAGAAATACAGACATACTTGCAGCTGAAACGTACTACACAGAACAAGTTTAGGATGGTAAGGACACAGGAGGGAGGTTCAGGGATTTTTTTTTGCATCAGCATGTAATGCCAAAGACATTCTGTAAGTCCCACACCCAGCACATTTTTTTGTAAGCAGATAAATCAGAGGAGCTAGATTAATTTCAGATAAACAGACAAGAAATATCGCACGTTAGTGGAACTGGATTGCATTCCACTCCAAGAACATCAACTCAAATATGAAATTGCAGAACTGCTGGCTAGGATTTGTAACTTATCATTACAGCCACCGTGTCAGAGGACTGTTTTTGTGTTACTCTTCTGTGCTTGTGATCTGCCAGCTTCACTGCCAGCACAGCTCCCAGATACAGGAAGGGTTCTGGGAAGAAACTAGAGAACTAAGGACCAGCAAGTCTGACTTTGGTCTCTGGCAAGATAATAGAGTCCGTAATAAAGCAAATGGATAAACAGCTTCATGAAAGTTAACAGGACTTCTGTAAATGGTAAATCCTTACTCGCTGTCCTGCTGGAACTCTCTAAGGGTATCATTTAGTGCACAGATAAAATGAATCCAAGGGATTTCGTATTTCCAAACAGAATCTGACAAGATTCCATGCAAGCATCGTTAGTGAAATGGAATTTGCTGTGGGATTGCTGGGAAGGCCTCTCAATATTTATTTTTTTCTAAAGAATGAGAAGCAAAGAGTAAAGTTTAACACTCTTTATAGAATGGAGAAAGGATTAGCCATGTTAATGGAACACAGGCCAAAAGCACCTCCAGGGAATAGGCAGGATGCACTCTTCAACATCCCAAGTGCAATCACTACAAACGCTGGAGGAGCACAAGGTGAGTGGACAGCCTCACACTGACAGAACTTCCTAGTACCAAACCTAGTCTGAAACAACGACTGGGCTGGATGCACCATCAAAACACACTGCAAAACTTCTCCCGTGGCACAGCATACTGCACAGACACTTAAGCAAAAGCACTGAATCCAGACTTATTTCCAGTCATAGAGTGTTGGGTTTTTGTTTTTGTTTTTTCCCGCCAAGAATCTCCTGCTCTTGAAATTCATTCTTTAAGAAAACAATTACTGCACTTGTTAAACTTCCAGAACTGTGGCAAAGCCTACGTGTTTCTTAATGTTCCTGGAAAGAAAAGGGTGGTCTGCTAAAATAAGAGCCCAAATCTCTCTACACCATCCCATGGGAACAGCTTAGTGTGCCCAGTACAGTTATACCTCCTAAAACAGAAACTGAATCAGTAATTTGGAGGTGAAATTTCACAGTAAAACAAATAAATAAAATTAGCATCTCTTTGTTATTTATCATCTGCAACTGCCATCATCCTACTAGTGTACATCAAATAACTTAAAAGGTACAAGCAAAACCATTAGACTTTTGAAGGCAGCAAGCCCCTTTTTTTCCTATCAGTATGGCACCTCACTTACCGAGGGGCCCTTTTCCAGCAGCCTTTGCTTTCATCTCCTCAAGTTTCTTCTGCTCCTCCTTCTGCTTTTGTTTAAATGCCAGATCTGTCTAAAGAAAAGAACAACAGAGCGTGTTAGCATCTCCTCCCCTGAAACTTTTTTAAAACAACTGATAAGCAATGACAAAGAAATGTTCTAACATGTACAGTCTTCATAGACAACAAGGCTGAAAGGGACTGTACGATTTTTCCTTGACACTCAGGATTTTGAGATTCCTCACCAGTCCAGTCCATGGCTCAGCTTCCTTAAAACTGGAACATTTTCCTCTTCTTCACGCTGAAACTTCCCTTGCTACAATGTGAGTTTTTTACTTCCCTTTTTCCCCCCAAGAGAACAAAATATTGTTTCTCTCTCTGGGTTTTCCAGGATATTTTTTTTTTGTTTTTACAAGTAAATCACTCTCTACCATGCTATGAAAAGAAAAAATGCCCACACATGCTACTGCTGTGCTGAGAGGAAAGGAGATGTTACTACATCACATTTGCCACACGGTATTTTCTTTATATGGCCTGTGTGATTTTTGTTTTGCAATGACTGATTTTGAGGGTACACATTTAGTGTATGGTCTGTCTCAAATCCTTTCAGGTGGACCTGAAGTTTAGCCACTCCTTCTCCTTGTATTTTATAAGTCAATTGTTCTTTCCAAAGAAAGGGCCGTAGCATACATGCTTAGTTAAATAAATCCCCTTGCTTTCCTTCAAGCTTTCTCCAATTTAAGATTACTTTGATCACTAGTCTTGCCCTTTTGACAGTCTGTGGCCCCTCCAAATTTTGTTTTCTATAAAGACAAGAGCAGAACTGTCAGTAAGTTAGTCAGCCAGCCAACCACAGCAGTAATCAAAACATAAGCCTGATGTAAGACAAACTCTTGCTCAGCCCCAGACAATTTATCCTTGTAGTCAGACACTGAAGGGTCAGTAACAGGTTTTAGTGTGACAGAGCAGCCACCTGCCCGTTCACCTCCATCACTTCCCTAGGCCCTGTTCCTACCCACACTTTGACAGTTATCAAGAGCCTGATACCTGCTGTCCTCCCCATACACAGAGCTCTGCCCTGCTGCAGAACATGATTTTGTTTGTCTGGCAGCTTTACTACAATACACAATATCAGCTTTTACACTGCTGTAACTTGGACACTTGAAAGCCCTTAATTGGCTCTGGCATTTCTCTGATGACAAAACTTATTTATAAAATCACCAATTCATCTTTCAGTGAGGCATCGCGTTTACCTTTTTCCAGTCACGGCTGCCACAACCCTCAGAAGCAGAAACAGGTAAGGGGAAGGGGATGGAGATGGGGATGGTGAAGGGGATGGGGATGTGGATGCCCCCCCGGCGCCCTACCTCATCCAGGTCCTTGGTCTGCTTCTTCGGCTGCTTCAGCGGCTTCTTCTTGCCGCCTGCAAAGACAGAGAGCTCCGTGAGGCGCGGCTCGGCGCGGCGCGGTGCCGGCGGCCCCGGGGCCCGGCCTTACCCTCCCGGCCCGACATGGCGCCCGCCCCGCTCCGCTCCGCGCCGCTCCGCGCCTCAGCCGCCCGCTTCCGCCCGGCCCCGCGCCTCAGCCGCTGCCGCCGCCGCCGTCACCGCCCGGAGCTCGGGGATTTCCGCTTCCGGGCCGGGCCCGGGGCAGGTAGGGCAGGGCCCGGGGATGCGGAGCTGAGGCGGGCGGGGAGGGGGGGGGGAACCGGGAGGGCCTCGGTGAGGTGAGGAGGGGAGGGGGCGTGCGGGGGGTCCCTGTGGTTGTGGTGTACGGCGGCCCCGGGGTGCTCGGTGGGGCTGTGTAACGGGGCGGCAGTGGGCGGGTGGGGGCAGACCCCAAATGTCTCCCTCTGGGACCGTCCCTTCCTTGGGGCACGGCTGTGGTGTCGTTGCCACCTGAAGGCACACAATCAGGACGGCTCGGGTCGGAGGGGACCCTAAGGAGCACCCGGTTCCAGCCCCCTGCCACACGCAGGGCCCCACCCGCTAGGTCAGGGTGCTCAGAGCCCCCCCCCTGACCTGGCCTGCAGCACCTCAGGGATGGGGCAGCCTGTGCCAGGGCCTCACCGCCCTCTGGGTGGAAAAGAAAATTCATATGTAAAACTTCTTAAATTAACAAAAAACGTGTACCAAGTGTCAAGCTCTCTCGTGCCATTCATTTGTTGTTTTTTAGTATTGTTTTGGTCAAAACCTCATATAATCATACCCAAACTCCATAAAAAGCCTTAGTTGAAAGTTTGCCCGTTTATAATTTTTAGAGGAATGTGCCAAGTAGAAAATTAAAATCTTTACGTATCAATGCAGACATTAAGCAGGAATAAGCAGTCTGCTTTTGCAGGGTAAGCAAGAATGTTAAAGCTATTTAAAATGTCTGCATTCGCTGCCTGGTGGTTGTATGGTCTTTTGGCTCTTCCTTGTATTTTAGTTTTGTAGGTAGTCAATTAGAAAAAAAAATTATGTACACGTTAGCACTTCTGTGTTTTCTCTCTGCTTTCAACTCTTCAATGCTTCATATATCTGTGGAGTATAAAATACAGGGAATGATTGAACCCCTTTTCTTCACCTTTTTGAGTTCTTTATTTTTTTAACCCCTCTAAATTTTTTTTTCTGTTCTTTTCCAGAGCTGTTAGCACAAGTGACACGGTACACCAAGCTCAAACGTGAAAACAGAACAAAATTTCCAATGGCAGTCACTTCTGCGCTGAAGCATTAAATTACTCTGAAGCTACTCCTGTTGATACTGGATCTGTAACATGTGATTGCTATTCATGCAACGAGCAAATCAGTAATCAAGAAACATGGCAAAAGTACTTAATAACAGCAGAAAAGCAGGAATCTCTGGCAGGACTGTCCTTTGAAAACTGTGGAACATGGCCTAGGTGAGTAACAGCATGAAACTAGTGATGGTTTGGTCATTCTAGAATTTTATTCATGTTCTGATGCATACATGTAGTTTTAAGAGGTGTTTACCAGCCTTATTTTAATAAAATTTTTCTTCATCCTTGTAGCACTTTTCTTCAGTGAGCAAATTCAAGACATGGGGCCAATGAAATATAAATCAAGTGTATCCTCGGTGTCCTGTGGCCTGCAATATCACCATTTTATGATAAAGTGCTGCCAAAAAATGAATTTACACGTGGTGCGAACTTACTGTTCCTCGGGACCTAAGCAGCCTGAAGCCAAGTCAGCAATAGAAACAGCCAGGGGTCTTCTCAGCCGACTGACAGAAACTGGGACTGTTATGGGGAAAAGCTCCCTTCAAAAAATATCTGCAACGGGCAAGAGTTGGTGGGACAAATATGAAGAGTTTGTTGGCATTAATGAAGTTCGAGAGGCTCAGGGAAAAGTGACGGAGGTAAATGTGGACAAAACATTAAAAATAAATAAATTTTACAATTAAAAGTTTAAAAATTATGAATTAAGCAATATGAAGCATGAACACTGTGAGTCAAAAAAGAGCCTCTAAAGAGAACTATGATTTTTCCTGCTTTAACTAGCTGTGAGGATACTATGAGTGTGTTCTAGTATAGTTGTCTTAGTAAATGTAGCATATCCCCTAGATTGTAATGGAGTGCTTTTGTTTGTTTGTTTTTGTTGTTTTTTCCTCTCTGAAATTCCTATAACTATCAATTTAGATGTGCCTGTTAATAAGTCTCTAAAATAAATAATCTCTCTTCGCAGGCTGAAAATGTCTTTATGATAGCTCGAGGAATAGTACGAGAGGCTCGTGAAAATGTAGAAGCCCAACAGACTAAGCTGAAGGAGATTCGGGACCGCTTAGACAGGGTCTCTCGGGATGACACCCAGTACTTAGAACTGGCTACTCTGGAACACAGGTTGCTGCAGGTAACTTGTTGGTATTTGAGTGATGGCAAATACAATGAAAATTTGTGTGCGTTGCTTTTATTGGTAGAGAATGGTGTTGTAGATGCATCTTACTGTTGAAGAACAGTGGTCTAAGCTAGTCTTTATTATACTTGTTTTAATTAAAGTAATTATCGTAGATGATTTGATATGCAATGGAAATCATATGCTGGTGTTAAAACAAGGTAGTAAATTTGGAGACAAAAGCTGAAAGAATGAACCTAGCAAACTAATTGTTTGAGTGGTGACAGGTGTGTGCCAACAAAAAGCTGAGATTCAAGGAATTAACCTTCCATGTGATGAGGAAAGTTCACTTCTGGCTGTTAACCCATCAGAACTCTCTCATCTGTCTTCCATCTGGCTGCAACACCCAGTCAGTTTTCTAAGGCTTTTGTCAGAGAGCAAAAGAGCCAGGCTGCTCCACGAGGGAGGATGAGCAAGAAGATGAGGTCAACCACAGCACAGGCAGGGGCGGTATCCTGTACCCACAGGGTGCAGTCCTGCAGCACCTCACCTGGATGAACCATGGTGATAAGAACATGTTCTTCAACAGTACATCAGTCACAGATAAAGGCAGGGTAGCAGCCAAAGTCAGCCCAGAAATCTAAATGAAACTGCAAGGACAGCAGGAAAAAAGGCACGCCTATGGCAAAACTCAGGCAAGGAGTGGGTACACGAACCTGAGCTTAAATGGAGCTCCTGGATCAATGCACAGAGCACCAGAAAAGAACTAAAGAGAGCTGTCCAAGTAATGCATCAGGTCTGTGCAGATGAAATCTCAAGAATAGAGCTCTGCATGACTACGAAGGAAGGTAGAGCTAAAATTACCACTGTCTGTAAGGTGGTATCTCTGTCTTACAAGAGGAATGTGTGCTTAGAAGAATGGGATAATTTGGGGAATGCACTTAGCTGACAGACAGATTCACTACTATAAAAAACTGCAGAATTTTACTTCAGGAAAATAACCATAATACTTTACAGTGTTTTGCTGAAATATAGTGCCTTACAAAAGGAATTGCCATGCTGAAGCTGGCAAAGGCAGAAAAGGAAGATGCACATGTGAGCAGAGAAAGAAAGAGAAGGCAGAAGAATGAGAAGTATGTATGTTCATGAAATTAACCTATCCAGGACACCCTTTATAGTCCTATTTTCAGTTCCCGTTTTAGGTGTCTTAGAATTGAAAGAGAGAAGCGTGGTAAAGGTAGTGTTTGGCAAAGTAGGCAGAGCCAAAAAACTGTACCTGGTGAGGAGAGAAAAGCTTTGCCTGTGCGTACCACTTTCCTGTCATCAGCATGTGACAGATTGTTGTGTAGATGATCTTCAGTTGTAATTCTTGATGACCTTTTCTATTTCTTAGGTTTGAGTTGAAATGATGTCTTGCTGACTGAAGTAGGATTAATAAAGAAAATTAAAAAGGGAAAATTATGAAACAGAACTAGTGCTTCATTTCCCTTTTTTTCATCATTTTCATTTTTCACACTTTTTTTAGCTTCATGTTATAGCTTCTTCAAATCAAAATGTGTTTCTTGCAGGAAGAGAAGAGGTATCGAGCTGCCTACTTAAACGCAGAAGAATCTGAGCGAGAAAAGTTCTCTCTCTTCTCTGCAGCTGTAAGGGAAAGCCACGAGAAAGAGCGAACAAGAGCTGAAAAAACAAAGAACTGGTCTATTATTGGCTCTGTACTGGGAGCCATTATAGGTGTTCTTGGTTCTACTTATGTTAATCGAGTAAGGCTGCAAGAATTAAAAGTCTTGGTGCTTGAAGCACAGAAGGGCCCAATAAATCTGCAAGAAGCCATCAAAGAACAGGCCTCCAGCCATTACTTGCAGCAGAAGGATCTCAGTGACGTCATAGCAGACCTGAAAAACATGCTGCAAGCAAGGACATCACAGGAAATAAAAGAAGGTGCTTTGTTAGCAAGAGGAGACAGGAATGACTCCATAAAACTAGATTCTATTTTAATTCCTTTAAAGGAGCAGCTAAACTACACTAAACAAGTCAGTTCATGTCTTGGGAGTTTACAACAGCAGTTTAACAGTCTGCAGGAAAGTATAGCACAAATAATTTCTGACGTGCAGAGCGTTAAACTTGCAGTTCATTCTAGACCTCTGGAAAGAGTAATGCCGAGATCTTCAGCAGAGGGTAAGGGACAGGCTTCTGCTGTGAGAGATGTGATCTTAGAATTGTGTGACACAGAGCGGAGACTGGAATCACAAATCAAGAGAAATTCTATTTACAGCACTGCAATCACATGTACTGTGTTTGCTATTACTCTGCCAGTACTCTATATGATACTTAAAGGAAACTGATCTCTAACTAATTGCTGTAATTTACTAGATTAATAAAAGTAAACTTGTGCTCTAAGTACTTAGAGTGCAAGTCCGCATAAATTTGCGCTAGTGTTTCTCATTATGCTTTCTGCTGTACAGCTGGAAAACTTGTAAAGGCTGTCCATCTGCTGCTGCAGGCTCCGTGCTAAGCCTTTCACTTGCAGTGTGTCTTTTAATTCCTCAAGTGAAGGAAATTGTATTGCTTCATCTGTTGACTTCATTCACGGTTTCGTTCTTCTACAGTCTCGTACTGCATATCATGCCAATCAGTGACCTTCATTCCGGAGCTGTATTTGTGATTTTTCAGTTCAAATGATTCTTTTAATCTAGCATTGATCAAAGTGCTTCATGTGTAATCCTTTATAATTTAACCCCTGATTTATTCATAATTTTGCAGTTTGTT